CACCAGCGTCGAGACGTATCTTAGCTACATTCTCCCTTTCCAACCCAAAGTACGCCATATTTTTGGTCTGCGACGGGGGTAACCAATTGTCCTTGAAATTGTGAAATACGTCCGCATCTCGGTAACTTACGATCTTGTTCCCCTGTAGAGATATATTTATTTCCGAAACCAGGTTTCTCGCCACGTTTTATAAACCGTCCTGTTGTCGTCCGAGGCGCCGTCTAGATCCAGTTTAAAAGCCAACTTTGCCGTACCGGGTACAATGACGTCGTCCGTGCCTAAAGCCGGGAATTTTACGTTTAACGTGTGACCCTCGGCTATGGTGCTCGGGTTGTGCGTAATTGTTACCTCCCTCCTCTCGCCTTTGATCGCGCGAGGAACTTTAAGTCTGCGACTCGGGTTAAGCTTTTTGGTGTACATCTTACTTTTATATAATACGATTCTTATTTTATTGAACCTTATTTTAAAAATGGCTATTGCTTTGATGATGGTTGGAGGAGCGATAGTAAACGCCTTGGCATTCACGGGCTCAAATTTTTTTATTTAGCAGTTTATCAAAAAGTAAAGTCGACGAAGAACGAAAGCGTCACGACCTCGCGTTGGAGCAATTGGCGCAAGCAAAACAAGAGTGGGAACAAAACCGCGTACACATGCTAGACTTTTTAAACGAACGAATGCGACAAGAACGCGCGAGTCAGCAGACATTTGTAAGCGTAGACGAAGCCTTACGAGGTTATTCGGAATTGACCGGTAAGAGTATTATACCGTTACCGCCAGAGCCTAAATTATCCGATTTTTACGAGCCTTCCGAAGACCAAAAAATTCGCGAGTTTGTTTGGATTATAGGTGGAACTGCGATAGTCGGATTGTTGGCTTATCGATACGCTTAACTTTAAAAACTAGTATTTTTAAAATGGAGAGAGAATTTTCAAAGTTGTTTTACAGCCCGCAGGGTTACTGGCGAGGAGAAAGCGCCGTCGATCGTCTCCACGAAAAGACCGGTGCGGACAAATCGGTCGTCAGAAACTGGCTAAAACAGCAGGCCGTTTGGCAAATATATTTACCAAAACCAAATTACGTACCCAGACCTACAATGTTGCAATCAGAATCGGTCGAACCTAATTACGCGCATCAAATGGACGTTTTGTATTTACCCTGGGACCGCGTTAAAAGAAAAACGTTTAAGTATGCTTTGACCGTGGTAGACGTGGGTTCCCGGTATAAAGAAGCAGAACCGGCCGTTGACCAATAAAACCACCGAGCAAGTGAGTGAGGCAATAAAGAAAATTTACGAGTGATCACCTCTAACCTGGCCCAAATTCGTAATGGTAGACTCGGGGTCTGAATTCAAAGGCGAGTTTAAAAAGTTAGTGACAAAAAATAAAGTACAAATTCAAGTGGGTGAACCTGGGGTACACAGATCTCAAGGAATCGTGGAAAGGTTTAACCATACTTTAGCTGAAAGGTTATTTGGCCACCAATACGCTCAAGAAATGATAAACGTGGGTGAGCGAAACGTGGAATGGGTAGAACGTTTGCCTCAGGTCGTAAAATCGTTAAACGAAGAAAAAACGCGGTTAATAGATGCCGTTCCTGCAGAAGCTATAAAATTAGCGAAGCGAGCAACGAGCGAAGCGAGTGTTACCGAAGTGAAACAAACACCTAGTGTACCTGTAAGAACTACCCAAAGAGAACTTCCTCCAGACGCGGTCGTTAGGTACCTCTATTACCCGGGCAAGCAAGAGGGCGGCACCGTCAGAAGGGCGACGGATCTAATCTGGTCCGTGGACGTTTATCAAATTGAAAAGCGAACTAGTCAATTTAAACGGATGAATGGCAAGAGGGTCAAAACGGGTCCAACTTTGTACTATTTATTAAACGGACCAAATAGGAGTTTCGTCAAAGAGGAACTTCAGGTAGTACCCAAAGACACCGAATTACCGCCTGATTAGGTAATTCCCGTCAGCTCGCTGCGCTCGCTTGTGCCTGTAAGCCAACGTATCGATTCCATTCGGTAATATGTAGCGCTTTGTGTCCAACGGTGACAGACTAAGTTTCTGCTGAGATATCGTGAACACCCGATGTTTATCCGATCTAAATAATTGTTGTTTATTGCAATAATGCGTTTGGTCAAAAGACAGCTTTTACACATCTCGTGGGTTAAGCTTTTCTCAGTTACTACTTTGGAAACCCCTTTCGCCTTCTTTAAATTGTGATCGGTAGTTAAGATTGAATACATTTTCGGTCTGATACAAACAGCTTCTAAAATTGTTTTGCCACCAAATTCGTCTTTCATTTTGCCTATAACTTTTTTATTTTTGACGCTGTAAAGTGGATGATCGGGCGGGTAATTACTAAAGTCAAATAAATGGCGCTTTTCGTTTAGGTAACCAGTAACCAGTTAAATCGTCGGAGCTTCGCTCGATCTGAACTAATAGAGAATCAGTGTCCGTGTAAAGTAAGCGTACCCCCTCACCAAATGTTGATTTTAGTTCGTTGTAGTAGAAATCGTACATTAACGTTTTTGAGATATCGAGAATACTTACACCGCAATATATTGGCTTAGTTAATTTTGTTTTGGTTCGGTACATCTCCACAAACGAAAGAGAACAGTCCCCGAATGGCACCGTCGATTTGTAATTTGGTTTATAAGTTAATTTTTTGTATTTGTCTGCGTCTTGTACGTCCCTCAGTAAATGACCGTCAATTCGATATCTAACATTTTCCATCGTCTTGCCAAAGACCGAGTTGTTCATCAATTTGAAAAAGTCCTTCTCAAAATCATTTTTTGCTTTCTTGCGCAATTTTGTGTTTTTGTCAATATAGCTTTTCATCCACGGCTTTTGACGAAATTTCAATACCCGGTGAACTTCTTTGATCCACAACCCTAGTTTGAGATATTTTTGCAATGTACGATAATGAACCACATATTTTTCTTTGGTGTTGAGAGTGGCCACTAGTATGTCTACGCTCGTACTCGCTTCACCATTACCAATTAAATCCTGTTGGTAACTCGAAAACCATTCGTTC